CACCTGCTAAATTGAAAGATCATATAGTTGAAAATTATATGATCATCTGTTACACAGATTTCTTATTTCCCACAATGCTTTACACCTAGTCAGTATTCAACAATATGTAGCAAATGAATCAATGAACAAGTACTTTGTTGGTTTCCACATTCATATCATGGAATGGGAAGAAGCTAGTGGAGCTGAAAGGGACCATACTTATTAAAAATTACTATTTCCATTCTTGCAGGTACAAGGGTGCCTGAATGTCATGCATTCTACACCTAGAAGTTGTGTTTGTTTATGTTCATATAAACTAGGAATATATTTTTCCACAATAAGTTATATGAAATATGCATGAGGTATGTTTCATTTAGGGTGTCTAGTTGTAATCAAAAGAAATCAATGCTGGTAATTTAAGGAGGCAATAGCTAAGAGCTCTTGTTTGCTAAGAGCTACTGCATAGATCATAGAATCAATCTCAGAAGGCTGGGAAACCTGGGCTGGAGGTTAGGAATGATGCCCAGAACCATACCGTGGAATGGTTAATCCTGCCAAACTACCACTGCTGCTTGCCACAGATACCTCAGCTTGCACATTCTCAGAACCAGTGGTGACTCACTACCTCCTACTGCAGGACCACTCCCGGAAATTGTGTGCTCCAGCCACCATCCTCATTATGATTTCTCTGCTTCTTTGCTTCAGTAACTTCAGATTCAAAGTGTCGGGAAGCAGTGCCTTGACCAGGTGCTCATACCCTAATTGCAAAGTAGGCTAGAAAAAGGACACCTGACAATTTTAACTTCTACAACTGACGGATGGAGATATTTTGAGGCAGAGGGTTCAAATGCTGGTGAGCCAAAGACATTAACAAATATCCACCTTATAATATAAAATTACCAGTAGTAAAAAAAAAACTTAAGCTCAGTATGATTAGCTGCTCTTAATTTTGTTGTTGTTGTTGTTGTTGTTGTTGCACTTGTTATTGCTGTTTTAGCTGGCCAAACCTGCCACCCTCGGTATATGGGGCTGGCGCCCCACCTGCTGAGCCACAGGCGCCACACCTGTTTTTAATTTTTTTAAGTAATAGTTTGCAGGTTGGTTATTTTCCTCTTTGTTCAATAAGCATAAGCAGACAGGAAAAGAAAAAAATGTATGGGAGAAATCCAAGGTAAAGAATACGGCTTTCTCAATTTTAACTTTTGCTGCAGATTTGGCCATCCAAATATCTATACACACTCTTGTTTTTGCATATGGAATTTAACCAATCCCTCCCTAGAAAGACAACCTTAAAATTGCTTTCATTTCTTGGCATGCCAGTTGGGTCTTTGAGTAATGTGTTGTCCTCTTTCTGATATTCAGATGTGGCTTTTCATGTTATGGTGACCAGTAAGCCTAAAGGCAAGTTATCTGCTCCAATACATCAGATTTAAATACTTTGCTAACAACAGGATAACTAAAATAAAAATTCCTATTTAGAAATCAGAGGATAGGAAACACAGCATTTCATCCAGAGGAATTTTCAAATCCCACTCAGTAGAAATGGCAAAAGATTGACAGAATACGTTTCTTAGTTACTCATCTGGCAATCCTAGTTCTATTTCCCAGGGGATATTTCTTTGTTGTTTATTCTTCACGGCTCTTGTCGTCTGCTTATTGCTAGTGCAGGTTTAGGAACTCAGACATTAATTTAGGACAGTGATTTTCAACCAATGTGCCATGCAGATTTTTAAAGATTATTAATTGAATTAAGTTCAAAGCACAGTAAATATATCCTTTTTTTAACCCTTTTTTTTAATCAACATAATTTAAGTGTGCTATAGAAGTTTAACTATAGGTTTATGTGTGCCGTGAGATAACAAAGGTTGAAAAATGGTGTTTTAGGAGTTCAACAGAATTTTGTAAGGCGAGTTTATAATTATTTTTTTGTATATAAGTCCTTCAAAAATTCAGTAAGGTTATAATATATTTGATTCCAGTTATTTTTTAGTATAACTCCAGCCAAATACTTCATTAGACAAAGATTTTCAGCCTAAAGATTCAGGTGTTTTAATTTCCACCCTCTGTGCTCTGCCCACTTCCTTTGCTCTCAGTGGCAACCACCTTGATATCAGTTTGGGTGAAAAGGCAACACCTTATTCCAGTTTGGCCAGCAGGCTCTCTCCCTTGGATAGCAAGACCCCAGTTATTTATGCATAGTTTTCTTTCTGCAAATTTAAGATTATTTCACATGTCATTCTAGTCATTTTTCAAATAAGGATTTATATAGCATTTTACAATTTTCAAGTCTTGTTTTACATAGATTATAGTATTTGATTCTTCACTATTCATTAGACACGCTACATGTCGTATGCTCTATGGCATAAGCTAAGTATAATCCCAAATTTGCAAAAAATTACTGTGAGCTTCAAAAAGATAAGTTACCCACTTAATTTACAAATGCTCAATTAAGAACTTGAGCTCTTATCTTCTGATTCTAAAATGCATGTTCATTCACCATAAAATACTGCCTCAAAATATCATCGAACTTGAGAGTTATCTAAGAGGTTGGTGGTATCAACATCCATTCTTGGTGGAGAAACAGGCATGGGTATCAGTGGACTGAAGGGTGACCAAGGACAGATCTGACAGTTTAAAAAATAAAAAAGCTGGCCATGTGCCATGGCTCATGCCTGTAATCCCAGCACTTTGGGAGGCCAAGGCAGCAGGATCACTTGAGCCCAGGAGTTCAAGATTAGTCTGGGCAGTAGTGAGACCCTGTCTCTACAAATAATAAAACATTAGCCAGGCATAGTAGTGCTGCCTGTAGTCCCAGATGCTTAGGAGGCTAAGGAAGGAGGATCACTTGAGCCCATGAGTTAGAGCTCACCGTGAGCTGTCATAATGTCACTGCATTCTATCCTGAGTGACAGAGACACTGTTTCAAAAAAAAAAAAAAGCCAAAAAGGTGTGCATGGCTATGCAGTTCTCTTAAGTAGTTAAACTTGAATGAGGACTTGATTATTTTCTAATGGGCTTTCATTTCTTCCTTTGTTCTAAATTTATAGTTGAGGTTTTTCCCCAACTTTTATTTTGAACTATTTTAAGCATACAAAAAAGAAATAGTACAATGAGGTCCACTATTTAACTTGATCAAATTTTGAGTACATAAATATTTAAACACACATATATGTGTGATATGTACTTTTGCTAAACATTTCAGAGTAAGTTCCAGGCATCACAATACTTCACTCCTAAGCATTTCAGCATACATCTCCTAATTTAAAAAAAAAAAAAAAACCTTACATAAAAATAAAATTACCAAAAACCTTCTAATATTCATTCTGTATTCAATTTTCTTTGGTTGTTCCAAATAATATTACTCATAGCTTTTTGCTGTTGTTTTGCTTCTTAATTCAGGGTTCAGTCAAAGCCTATTGGTTACATTTGGTTGTTATGCTTAATCTAAAATAGGACTTTCACTTTTGTTTTTCATGGCATTGACTTTTGAATGGTTCAGGCAAAATTGTCTTTTAGAATGTCCAACATTCTGGATTTGTCTGATAATTTTCTCTATTTCCTGTATTTCCTATAAACAGAATGTTAGATCCAGAGATGCAGTTAGACTCGGGTTAACTGTTGGAGATGTAAACTTCATTACTCATAATATCACGATTCCCTGCCCTTAGGCATGCTATCATTACTTGGTTAAAAGGTGACTGCCAGTTTTTTTCTGTGGAAAAGATATATTTATCATTTTATAATTAGTAACCTCTGGAGTGATATTTTGGCATCATGGGAATATCCTGGTTCCCAGAAACTTCTCATTCAATAATTTTAACATCCAATGCTGATTAACCTTGCCTGAATCAGTTATCACATTGGGAGTGTTCATTTTAATTGAATTTTTAACTGAAACATAATGAAACTTAGTAAACTAAATATATTAACTCTGTCTCTGTCCCTTTACATTGTCATACAGTATGAATTAAGTTAATATTGATAACTTGTTTTCTTACATGTAGCATTTTCACCTATGACGTATTTTCTGTTTTTCTGCAGACAAGTAATTTCAACTTTCATATTTCTTTTATTGAAAATAAGTGGTTTTAATGATGCATATGTGAATACTATTATGAATCATCATACTGCATATTAATTTCATGTATGAAGAACAGACTAAAAGTAATTACAAATGTAAAAAATCAGGAATTGGAGATATTATAATTTTAATTCCAAGAGAACTCTAAGGAGACATCATAACTAAATGTAACGTGGTATCCTAGATCAACAAAAACACTTCAGGTAAAAACCAAGAGAATTAGAATAAAGCATAGACTTTAGTCAATAATTATGTTATGATATCAATGCCATGTGCCAACTGATTCTGCCACAGGAATACTTAGTAGATAATTATGTATCAATTGTCACAAATTTACTATACCTTGACAAAATGTTAATAATAGGGAAAACTGGATGTGGGGTATACTAGAACTTTCTGCATATATTTGCAATGTTTCTATAAATATAAAACTATTCTAAATGTAAATGTTGATTTTAAATTATTTTATTTATTTATTTTTGAGACAGAGTCTCAAGCTGTTGCCCTGGTAGAATGCTATGGTGTCACAGCTCACAGCAACCTCAAATTCTTGGGCTCAAGTGATGCTTTTGCCTCAGCCTCTGGAGTAGCTGGGACTATAGGCTCCCACCACAACACCCAGCTGTTTTTCTGTTGCAGTTATCATTGTTGTTTTAGCTGGCCCCAGCCAGGTTTGAACCTGCCAGCCTTGGTGTACGTGGCCAGCATCCTATTCACTGAGCTATGGGCACCACCTATTTAAAATTATTTTGATGTGTTTACAATATGAATCTGTAGTTTAAGAACAGTGATTAAAGTGACTTTAAGCATACTTATAAGATAAAAGCCATGAAAACAGAATAAAATAGAATATCAGATTCAGAGTTTTTTAAACATACCTGTATTCAGAATGGTCAAGTTTTTAATGATACTTAAAACAAAAAATTAGAAATTTTTTTCATGTCAAATGGGTAATGTACCAATGTTGTAATAAGGTTTGAGGGAGGCCTATCTCACACATAAGTATGAAAACCCAATCATACTTGTAAACCAAATTAGGAAAAATTAGGAAAACGTAAAATTTTATTCACAAGAGAATGGAAAATGCTGCCCTACAGCTATATTAGGTTATAACAAACAACTAAAAAATATCAGTGGTTTAACACAAAAAATTGTATGTCTTACTCCTTCTACATGTCCACTGAGTCATATGCCTGGCTGAAGTCAGGGACCCAGGCATCTATTGCTATCTGTTTCCACATAAAGGATGGGGGGCATGGTGAGTCATACATCCACCAGCCGTTACATTCCTGCCCTGAAGTTACACAGGCTAGTTCTGCTCACATTTTATTGACCATGCAAGTTATGTGACCACACCTAATTTCAGAAGTGGAGGGGGGAATAGATTATACAGTAGAACCTCTGTAAGTTGACCATTCAAGGGACTGTAACAGACAGGTCAACAAAGGGAAATGATCAGCATAAGGAACTAAGCCCACTGTACTGATAATGTACATGCAGTGCATGTCTGGTCTATGAAAGTTAGGTCAACTTAGGGAGGTGGCCGTAGGAAAGTGGTCAACTTTGGAGGTCCTACTGTATTTAAATGCCCCTAATACCCACTGTAATTGTGACCTGAAGCTCACTATTAGCTGTGTAACTTTCATGATAGTTATGACAAAGCTGTTGAATTTGTGTTAAACTCTGAAACAATTTTGAGAGTCAACTGTTAATTTCTATTAATTTCTGTTTTATTTCAAAGACTAATGCAGATCCTGGATTTAGCCCAAAAGAAATTGTCAGATATTTGTCTCTATTTTGTTTAGACTTTCAGAGATTTGAATTATACTTATCACAGTAAGAAGACCTGACAAACATAAGTACACGAGCTTTTATACTCATTTGTAGTTAAGTAACTTAGGATAGTGCTCTCCATAGTGAGGTCTTCCAGGACCACATAGGTAAATAAATAATTCAGTCTCTTTCATGTCTTGATATAAATTCTGCTGCTGGGTGTTACATTGACAGTGTCCACCACGCAGTCTAGTGAAAGTGCTGGGTGAAAAAGAGTTAAAGTACAACTCAAAATTATTAATGATTTTGAAAGCTGAAAAAGCCTTTTATCAAAGATGAACTAGCTACTTAGGACCTCAACTGTCTCATTGCTACAATAAGGAAGTACATAAACTATGTAGGTTCACTGGATCCCCAAGATAACTTTCAAAAATCTGAGTCAATCATTTTAAAAATTCACATTTTTTGTGCATTTTTAATATTCTTTAAATATAATGCAAATAGCTTCTCTAAATTATACTTACTCTGAAAAATGGTAATTTTGAATGAAAAGCAAAAATAGCACCTTATTAACTTAAGCACATACATCGTGTCTAAACTAAAATTTAAAGTCAGTTTTCAGAGTCTGCCAAACAGCCCTCAATTTATTTCCATAAATTATTTACCATAATGACATGGGGAAAATCCTGAATCCCAAGTAAGTCTGTCTGCTATACATGAGACCTGCCAGATGGGAGCAAAGAGAAATGGGTTCTGTGAATCCAGTATTCCCAAAGAGGTCATCATGACATTGAGTTTAGCGTGACATCCTGAGCCCTATCTTGGGTGGGGCTTAGGGTAGTTTCTAAGTCAGTAGCGTTTTGATTTTTGTTGTCAAGTCGCTCAAAGGGTTTTCTGGTTTTCAGATATTGTTAGAGGAAAATGACCTTTTAGTCTTTTGTTTAATCAAGTTGCTTTCTTTGAATACTGAACTTACCTAGTAAATGAGTCACCAGATTAAGTGGAATAAAGTAACAAGGACATCTCCTATGTTTTGCTTTCTGCCTATGATGTTTTGCAGTTCGAGAACTTTTTTTTTACCTCCGGGCATCTTCTCCACATGCACTTTGGCTTAAAATACCTAATACCAAAGAGAGTGGTTTGAGGGCTCAACAATCACACAATCTGGTCTTTAGTATCAATTCAAGTATTTTGGAACATCTGAGTACACACATAAGTACATATACTAGAGATATATATCATACATATATGTGTTTATGTATGTTCATATGTATATATTTATATGTGTATGTATACTTTTTTAAAAAAGATATACTTTTTATCATAGCTAAGTTTTTACATTCTTAGTCGATCCACCTTATGGTCATAAAAAAAGATATCTTCATAAGTATTCCCATTTAAAAAGTTATCTAAAAAGGACTCAGAACTTATTGTACCAGTTGTCTATTATAGTATAACAATTATCACAAATTTGAAATAGTTGAAAACACCCATTTGTTAGTTCACAGTTCTGGGTCACAAGTCTGGCACAAGTGTGGTTGGGTTTTTTCCTCATGACTGAAATCAAGATGTTGCCTGGGCTGAATTCTTGTTCAGAAACTCTGCTGGAAAACATCTCCTTCCAAGGCCATTCAGGTTTTTGGTAAAAGTCGCTTCCTTGTAGTTGAGGCCTGGGGTCCTAGGCAGCAGGCATCACTCTCAGCAGCTGGAGGCTATTCTCAGGTTCTTTCCACATGCCCCCCTGCCTCTGAAGCAGGCAAAGGTACACTGAATTTTTTTTGTATCAAGTATCTCTGGTTTCCTCTTCTGGAAGCAGCTAGAGAAAGTACTGGGTTTTGAAAGGGATCACATGGTTAAATTAGGCCCACTCACCTAATCTCCCTCTGTTTGTGTCAACTGACCAAAATCCCTTTTGCCATATAAAGTAACATAATCATGGGAGCCATCTTAGAATTCCACCTACCTCACTTACTTAGACCTTCACTATTATATAGATTCAGGTTTTAGGTTGAATAACATGTCAAATCATTTGGCACATTAAATGTGAATCACCATAATTACATTTAGGTTAGATTACTTTTCACTTTTATTGTGAATGTGACTAACAATTTTGTGGGGTGCAGAAAAATTAATTTATTTTTTAAATAAGACCATAAATGTATCCAATAATGAGACATTCCAAAAGACACGTTTTAAAGAGTTACTATAAATGCTCACTATATTAGCTGGCCGGCATTCTTTGAATGTATCAGATGGCAATGAGTAGCATATCTCCTCACGTTTGCTGTTAATCATGGTCTTGGTCATACACTAATAGTGCAAAGTCACAGGCTTTAGTGCTGAAAAATGTCAGAGATTATCTGCCCTCTTTCCACTGAGACTCAGACCAGTTATGACTCAGAGTGGCCCACAAAATCTGCTAGTAGTGGTTAGAAACTAGCATAGGTATATGTTTTCTGATTCCCTACCTGGTAACGGTACCATTGACTGAAGATTTTCTATATATCAAACACTATTCTAACCACTTTAAATGTAATGTTTTACTTAATACCTATAAGGTGGGCATTATTATTATTATCATTATCATTTCAGTTTGAGAAAGGTGAGGTCACAGAGAGGGTATATAACTTAGTGTCACCCAGCTTGTTAATGATAAAGTGAGGATTCGAGGAGAAGCAGTTTGACACCAAGGGCTTGACCTCTTCACTGAGCTCTGCTCTTCCCACCCCCCACCCCAACCTGCTTCTACCAAAGCCTATGTGTGTGTCATCACAGAGTGAGCCTGGTTTGTTGTCTCCATAGACAGCTGCACAAGCACCATGTAGTTACTGACAACAATTTAATGAACCAGCAGAAAATTTGAAGTCTGGGAACTATGTACAAATTCTCATTCTATCACTCACTTTGTAGCTTCAGGGGACTGTGTAATCTGCAGGGGCCCTTAGATGCTGTATCTATAAAATGGAGATTTAGACTTGTGACCAAGAGGATACATGTAGAAGTATCCGTAAACAAAAAGATTACATACTCATCCTATTACATACTCATCCTATTGTTAGTCTTTGACAAGTGGTGCTGGTTCTCATCACCCTTTAATAGCAGATTTTCAAGTCATGTTAGCGGTGGTGGAGTCAGACCTCAAATAAGGTCTTAGTAGGTCTTGACATTGCAAAGGCTATGTCCTGAGATCTGTAGGAATCTCATTTCCTTTGCAAGTCATGTTTTCAGTATTTATACTCATTCCACATGTTCAAATGTCTCTGGAGTTGTATGTTTCAGTTGATGGCAATTTTTCACAAGGGGATTGTTCACAGGAAGTGAACATTCAAGCTACGTGGAGAGACAGAGGCTCACCCCTTGGCCTGCACCTTCACACAGGCCTAGCACCATTCATGATGCCAATTCACATTTGTAGCAAACTGTATTACTTTTTGACATAGTCATTTGAGGATCACTCCCAGATAAAATTATAAATATTTCATCCATGAATACTTTTTTTTGACATTCTCCCTCTGTTTTATATATATGTTTTTGCTATACCATTTGAAATAAATTGCAAACAATGTACCAGTTCAAGTCTAAATACTTATGTCTTTCTCTTAATGAGAAGGAAATTCTTTATAATACATGTCATCTACCTTAAAAAAACAACAATTTCCTAATCCCATCCAATATCCAATGCATATTCAAATTTTCCCTACTTGTTCTAAAATCACTTTTATACCAATTTGCTTATAGACTTTTGTTTTGTTTTCCCAAACAATAAGCCAGAGTACACTCGTAGCATTTGATGGTTACATCACTTTGATGTCTTTTAACCTAGAACAATTCCCTCATTTTGTTTATTTGTTTTCATGATGTTACCATTTTGGAGAGACTAGGCTAAGGCTCTTGAACAATATCTCATGTTCTGGGTTTGTCTGATTGGGCAGGGGGTACACATGAGTGTGATTTATCTTATTACTCTGTCCTTTGTGTTTTTGAAAACTGAAATCTGCTTCCAAAGACCTGATTAAAACTAAGTATATTTTTATCTAGAACAGGTTGATAGTTGAGACTATGCATTTTACAACAGGCAGTGCATATGATTGCCTGGATATTGGCACTACCAAGTTTGGTCACTTGATTAACTTGGTGATAGCCAGGTCTCCCAGTGTGAAGTACTGTTTAACAATTAGAATTAATTTGTGGAATGATTGTTTGGCTCATATGAATGTTCTTTTCCCTACCTTTCACCTAATGGTGTTAGCCTCAATTAATGAGCCTTG